TCATGAAAGATAATGTTTATCCTTCAACACCCCCCTCACTACTTAAACCAAGTGAGATGGTTTTTACCACGGCCGAACTCCAATATGACCGAAGTAATCATGGCTATGCATAGCTGCAGAATAAGCCGAACTAGCTCTTCCTTTTACTGCTCTTACGTCGGCTTCTCATGCACAACCCATGACGTGGTTAGACCGAACTAACATGTCATGACCGGTGTAACTCCAAGATCGGTCTAATTCCAAAGTACCGTTAGACCGATCTAACTTCGATCTTCTATCGGACCGGACTAGCTTCTCGGCTTTAGGACCGGACTAACTTCAAAATATCCACATGACCGGAGTAACTTATATGGCCATGTTACTTGGCCCTTTGTACTGCGGCTCATAACGGCCCAATATTCAGCTCGGCCCAATTTTCACATAAATTACCCTCTCAACATCTATATGTCACTATTTTGTATAAAAAATCAGTATTTTCCTTAAGGTCACTATTTTGTTATTACAACAGAAAAAAGAAAAAGAAAAAAAGATACCAACTTAATACCTCTTTGTGCCTTTTTCGATAGGAGTAATGTTGCCCTGTTCTTGATCAACTGAAGCACTGATATAACTCCCCTGCTTTCCAAATTCACCTAAATCATTTATGAGCTGAAATCTTTCCAGTGATGATATGAAAATACTTTTGGTCACTGAAGAATCAGTGATTGACACTAAGCATCCAATGGCATCATGATATTAATGTACATGCAAAATAAATTAGAGTAAACTGGAACAACATTTTTTGTTAATAACAATAGATTTTGGCCTTGAAAATTTTAAAATTTTAATTTATAAGCATCCAAAGCAACAAGCAAATTTTAAAATTTTAATCTTGAGATGTCAGAATTTTTAAATTTTAAATGATATACATATGAGCACATTTGGAGTAACTGTGTAACTGTGTAATAAGGATTGCAGCATATGGAAAATCATGTTCTTAAACTGTGAATGAATCTATAAACCCACTTCAATGATAGAAATCCATTTCATAAGAGGGAAAAAGCTAAAAAGAATAGAAACCCACTTCAATGATAGAAAGTATGTAAGAAGAATATGAGGGAAAAGCCAAAACCAGTTTGTATTTAAGAAGCATTGTTTTAACAATTTCAAAGGTAAAAAAAAAAAACAGAAGGTGGTCCGAATGTTTCAATGACCCATAGCCTTAATGTTTCAATTTCAACTTCAATGACCCATAGCCTTAATGTTTCAATTTCAGAGAGCAAGCATTCAAACTGAGCATTCAAACTCAAGGTGAGCAAAATAAAGTGAGGAGAGGAGGGTGTCTTACCTGGTCATTGGTAGAGAAGAGAGCTTTCACAGAGTTTTCTTCCTTCTTTACAGCTTTCTTCGAAGCTTTCTTCAAAGCTTTGTTCCAGTTCAAAGCTTTGTTCCTAGCCTTCTGCATTGATAGGAATACAAATGATGCCTTACCTGGTAAAATGCAGTGGGTTGGTGAGAGTTGATAGGAATACAAATCTGGACCATTGGATTTTAGCTATGGACAAATCTAAACCATTGAAACTCTTTTCAATCTCAACCATTGTTTTTTAAATTAGATAAATTTGAACCATTAAAGATAGTTTGTGAGAGAGACATTTTCAAAAATAAATCTGAGCCATTGCTTTTAAATCTAAACATATCTGAACCATTGATTTGAAAGACATTTTCAAATTAACCCTTCCGTTATTATATAGATATTACTTTCACACATGCATTCCGCTTATATAGATCACATCCAAAAGAGATGTATTGTGATTTTCATAGCTGATGGAATTAATATATACGGATTCATAGATGAGAGAGTAAAATAATATACCTAATTAATTAAAGAATTTTAATGTAAACATGATATATTTATGTTTTTTTTTTTTTTTAAACCGTTATGCACAAAAGTAATACACCGATATTACTAAGTACACTTGACTAGGGATGACAATGGATAACCTACTCTGTGGGTATCGATGGAGACCCAACCCAAATATATGGGTTTTTCCCTTTTTTTCTTTAAATATCCACAGGGGATGGGTTGGAGATGGGTACCCACTAATTTCCCCGTATGTTTTTTTTTTTTTTTAAGATTCACAACCAAAACTAAATATACATTCAATCTTTTTTCTTTTATTTATTTATTTTTTTTTTTTTCAGGTTCACAACCAACTTTTTTTTTCTTTTATTTTTTCAACCAAAGCTAAATATACCTCCAATCTTTTTTTTATTATTATTTTTTTTTATTTTTAAGGTTCACAACCATTTTTTTTTTAATTTTTAAGATTCACAACCAAAACTAAATATACATTTAATCTTTTTTATTTTGTTTTTTTTAATTATTTTTTTTATTTTTTAAGGTTCACAACCAAATTTTTTTTTTTTTAAGATTCACAACCAAAGCTAAATATATATTCAATCTTATTTTATTTTATTTGGCTCAACAATAAAATCAAATACACTTTAATTAACATTGTCACATTATTCTTGCCAAATTTTATGCATATCTAGAATTTTTTTAATTTATTTAAAAAAATTAAGGACACTGTCTAGTGCAAATTTCGGTTTGTTTTTCTATGTTATTTTATTTTGTTATGTATTGTAATTTTCAGAATGGTTTGTTTGCTCTGAAATTTCAATTAACGAGTATGAATCTATTTGTTTTATGTTATCACACAATTTATACAACATATATATATATATATATATGAATGTATTTGAAAATAAGAAAATTGTAGAGAATCGAAACAAGCATGAGTTGTGATTGGTTAGAAAAGATGGGTACAAAGATTTATTTGCTGGAAAAACAAAAAGGAGATACAAAGTCTTACTAAATAATTTTTTTTTTAAATAAAAGAATTTTTCTTAGTTATGAATAGATTTAACTGAAATCAGCTTGTTTCCCAATGTTATGCTTTATTTATTTAGATAGAAAATATTTTTTAATGAAAAATATTTTTTATAAAAAAAATTAAAAAAAATATTTTTTTTTTATATTTGGTGGGTGGTGGTGGTGATGGAACGAAGGTGAAAGTAGAGATTGTGACATAGTGGTGGGGTGATGGCGGCAGTGATGATGGTAGTGGCTATGGTGATGGTAGTGTAATAGTGAAGGCGAGAATAGTGGTGATGGTGTTGTGAAATTAGTAAAAATTTAATTGAAAAAACATTTTTTGTTTTTTAAAAGTAACAAACAACAAAATTCGTGGGAGACTAAAGGAAGAAGATGGAGGATGGATTGTGTGTGGTAAGGCATAAATATCTTAAAATGAGTGGTTCAGATTTGTTAAAAGGTATAATTAAATTTTGGATAAATTAAAATGAATGGTTTAAATTTGCTAAGAGAGAGATGGTTTAATGTCTAAAATGTCCATGGCTAAGAGATCAACAAGCAATTCCTTATTTATGCCCTGATGCAATTTAATATGGGTCTTATAACACTTTCTTCAAACAGGTTCTTTCACATTTTATTTCTTCAAACATGCTCTTATAATATTATAAACATGTTCTTATAACACGTAGGGGAGAGAGTGAGAGTGAGAGAGAGAGAGATGGTTGTAATTTTTTTTTAATCTTCCACGTTCTTCCACATTTTTTTTTAATTACTAAAACTTATTTGATTCTCTCAAAATTATATATTTGATTATTATAAAACAAACTTTTTAATTGATTAATTAATGTGTATTTGATTTTGTTGTTAAACCAAATAAAATAAAATAAGATTGAATGTATATTTAGCTTTTGTTGTGAACCTTAAAAAAAATAAAAAAATAAGTTGTCAACATTAAATATATTAAAAAGAAAGAAAAAAGATTGAAGGTATATTTAGCTAAAACCTTAAAAAAAAAAACAAAAAAAAAAAAAAAAAAAAAAAAAAAAAAAAAAAGAAGAAGAAGAAGAAGAAGAAGAAGAAGAAAAAGAAGAAGTTGTTAACATTAAATATATTAAAAAAGAAAGAAAAAAGATTGAAGGTATATTTAGCTTTTGTTGTGAACCTTTAAAAAAAAAAATTGTTAACATTAAATATATTAAAAAAGATTAAAGGTATATTTAGTTTTTGTTGTGAACCTTTAAAAAAAAAAAAAAAAATTAAAAAAAAAAAAAAAAGTGGTTGTTAACATTAAATATAAAAAAATAAAAATAAAATAAAAATGGGGACTAAAGTGGGTTGGAAAAAATCCAACCCATTAGGAAATGGGGAGGGTGGTACCCATGGAAAATAGGAAATGGGAAAATTTTATTATAGAAAAATGGGATGGAGAATTAATATCTGGGTAATGCTAGGGACACCAAATTTTCTACCAAACAAATGACCAAATGTCTCACATGGGTATGGGGTCCGCAATTTTGTGGGCCCCACACCCATGTGAGACATTTGGTAATTTATTTGGTAGAAAATTTGGAACCTCTAACATTTTCCTTAATATCTACCCCATTAACCCCCATTACCCTCCCTACACTTGACCCTCTGTTTTGTAAGAGAACAAACTATTTCTCCTTTTAGCAAACATAAAAATATACATTTGCATTTGTTTCTATCTTGCTATATGAAAAATGATTCAATCTCCTACATGGTAATATAATTTGGGGTTATTAACTGGCAGTTATGTGAGGGGGAAAAAAAAAACAAATTCATAATACATTTTTTTTTTAATTTAATTATTAATTTTTATAATTTTTTATTAATTTATAATATTTTTTTCAATATTCATTGATGTCATCATCTTCCTAATATAATTGACAATCAAGAGCTTTCTTATTTTAAGGGGTTGATTTACATGTGACATCACGTTGACAGTGAAATAACCGGTGAAAAATTACTGGCAGCCATGACTTGTGATGACATCACACAAAAATAGGGGAACCAAGCAACCAAAATAGCAATGCATTTACTTCAAGAAGCTACCACAAATTGCTTGAGTGGTCACAAAAATTGGTACCAAAAACTTTGTATAAAGAACCTGAAGATGGTGAAATCATTTTACTATACTCTCTGGCTTTTTAATTGTCTTTTTTAACTTGTAAAAAAATATATAAAAAAAAACTGTAGTTCAAGGGTCAAGGCCACAATGGCCCTGGTGGGAAGATTAGAGGTGAAACTTGCTTTCTTCTTGGGTCTGGTTTTGCTCTCTGGTAGGGCTCAAGGTAACCATCATGGCAATGCTCCTACAGTTTTTGATGTTACAGAGTATGGTGCCAAGGCAGATGGACAGACAGAGTGTGCACAGGTGATTTTTTATTTGCACAAAAAATAATTATAAAATCAAATGCAATTCTTTTATATGGGTGTGGAGTTTATTTCATATGAGAATGTTGTGTTTTTTTTTTTTTTTTTTGTGATTGATTCTGTATTCATACATTATTTTTTTCGTGATCACTGTGGTGGTGATTTTTCCCGATCCAAAGATGTTTTTGTCTTGAAATTCATATCAACTTGTGCCAAAATACTCTCAAATCATTAGATTATGTGCAAAATCTGAAAATATAATCTAATAATAATAAGAAGGGGGTGCGTTGGAGACGGAAGATCTGGTGCCATTTCTAAACACAATTTTTGTACACAATTCTCATATAAGTACTACGATTGTTTTGTCATAGTTTCATTTCAGATTAAAAACTCTTTTAGCTCATAATTTCACAAATATCATTTTTAAATGAAAAAAATGTCACATAATTGCTCACATAATAAGTTTCATCAACCCTATTAATACCAAATTAATAGAAGGGCCAAATTTCAAGCTTAGTACAACGGCATGAATTTGACTGTTACAATGAAAAAGGAAGAACCAAAATAAAATTTGATGTAAAAAATGCAAGAATACAAATTATAATATACTCTTTATCTCGTTTTTTTTTGGGGGGGGCCTAACTTTATCTTGTTTATTCTTGATTAAATTACACAGACCTCTCTTAACATTTGTTAATATTACATCTAACCCCAGTAGTATGACAAAATGACACCAGCCTCCTCAGCATTTGAGTTGCATTTCAATTCACCCCTCGGCATTAAAAATCCGTCACAGGAACTTCACAGAATATTATGACTTCATCTATTTAATTATGTCAAAATTGTCATACTTATTATTATTATTTTAACCTAAAAAATAATCAGTATAATTCAGAGTACTAATTTATGAATACTTTTTCAGTGTACACAGCATCATTACTCATATGAAAAACCTCAATGTGGCGGATGCAGGCTTTTACACAGGCATGGAATGCAGCATGCAAATCAAATGGGCCATCAAGTGTAGTTATTCCCTCAGGAACATACTTGTCTGGTGAAGTGTTCTTCCATGGACCATGCACTCACTCAAAACCTATAACTGTTGAAGTGCATGGTACTGTATTGGCCCAATCTTGTATCAGTGAATTCGCTAACGGTCATTGGATCTCCGTTGAAGATGTGGATGGTTTAGTACTTAAAGGCCCTGGAACTTTAAACGGCCAAGGTGAGGAATCATGGCAATATGATACTTGTGGTGGCAAATCTACTTGTGACTTCCCTCTCCCACCTGTAAGTATGTTTTCACTTTTTACGTAGATTCACACCATCGATATGAAGTTCGATCTGTCTAGTTGGGTTTGTGGAACTTATCAGAGGTTACATCAGCGGTGGAATCAGAAATTATGTGAAAGGGAGTAAAATAAAATAATTTAAATTTTAGAGGAATTGAAGTAAATTTGGGGACTAAAATAATAATTTATTTTATAAGCATTTAAAAGAGCATCAAAATTCAAAGGTTTGGGATGGCCAAAATTTATTTTATAATTATTGAAAATTGTATAAGAATAATGAAAAATTTCAAAATTTTTGGAAGCCAAGATAAAATTATTTTAGATTTTGGAAGGGTTGGAGTTAGGGAGGATCATTTTAATTTGATCCGCGGGGGCCTGTCCATACCTGCCCGAATGGGTGGATTTTACCTGCCCGACACTTATGTGGGGCGAGGGTAGGTATCACCTCTCCCGATCTAAACTTGACCCGATATAATTAATAATATATATATATATATATATAATATAATATAATTAGATATAAAAAAATAATATTAAAAGTCTGTGATTTTGTTTAAATATAAATAAATAATAATTCTAAAAGTTTCATTGTTTAAATATATGGAAACAAGGAAAATTATTTAGTGTACTAAGGATTTAAATAGTCCTCAACTATTTGAAATGTGGTCGGATATCCCCAGGTATCGGGTATTCGTGGGGACGGGGATGGGATTAAAAAATTTCACCTGTAACGGGGGCGTGGGTGTGGGCGTGGACGTAGATGGAGTTTGTCCGCAGGGATAGGGACGAGGACGGGGAATGGCAAACCATCCCCCAAACCGGCACTGTGGTCATCCCTAGTTGGAGCAAAATTATATAAAATTTGAAGGGTTCAAATTATAAAATTCTTTGATAAATCACTACAACAAAAAGCACAAATGGTGACTAAAAAAAATTTTCGTCACTGAAAGTAGCACTTTCGGCGACTAAAATGGAATTAGTAGTCAAAAGTGAAGACTTTTGGCGACTAAAACAGTTTAGTAGCCAAATGTATAGTTATTGGCGACTAAAAATCAGTTTAGTCGGGGGGCGGGGATGGGATTAAAAAATTTTACCTGTAACGGGGGCGTGGGTGTGGGCGTGGACGTAGGTGGAGTTTGTCCGCAGGGATAGGGATAGAGATAGGGACGGGAACGGGGGAATGGCAAACCATCCCCCAAACCCGCACTGTGGTCATCCCTAGTTGGAGCAAAATTATATAAAATTTGAAGGGTTCAAATTATAAAATTCTTTGATAAATCACTATAACAAAAAGCACAAATGGCGACTAAAAAAAAAATTTCGTCGCTGAAAGTAGCACTTTCGGCGACTAAAATGGAATTAGTAGCCAAAAGCTTGACTATTGGCGACGAAAAAAATAGTCAGCAAATGTATAAATAATAAAAAAAAATAATTCACTATTGGCGACTAACAGATTAGTCGCTAAATGTATAATTTTCAAAAATGTAATTGACTATTGGCGACAAAAGCTTTGGTCGCTAAATACTTATTTTTTGCCGACTAAAACTTTTTTAGTCGCCAATACCTCCGGCGACCATGTATTCGCGACAAAACCGGCAACTAAAATATTTAGTCGGGAAAAGTGAAAAGTCAACTTTTGGCGACTAAAAATTTAGTCGCTAATGGTGTTTTTTCTTGTAGTAAATATTCAAAATTGTCTGGTAGATATGAGAATTTTCAAAAGTTTGGAGGGGTGGTAGCCTTGCCTGCCACTACCTGGGTCTGCCGCTGGGTTACACTTTAATGATCTGAATTGTTCATCTTACAAATTTTTATGTAAAAACTATTCATTAAAAAATCTGATCGGTTCGATAATTATAATTATTTATTTTATCATATTTCACCATACTTGAAAATAACTATCTAATTTTTTTTTAAATAAATATGTTGAAATCATGTGAGTATTATTATCGAATTAATTATATTTTTAATTTTAAAAGGTTCATCTTTAACTAGGCACTAGAAAATAAAGAACTCAAATCATTAAAGTGATATCTGTGGTGGGTTCACATGCCTAATTAGAAGAAAAAAAAATTATATTTCTCTCCAGCTTACAGAGATTTTAAAAGAGATATAGGACATAATAGTTAAAATTTCCATATGATTCTCCAAGTAATCAAACTTCATGATTTTCTTCGTACTTCGTATGTTTCACAAAGAGACTGTTGAAAAAACATTTCCTCCCTGATTTACTCTCCAGAACCAAGAAAACATGTTCCCTTGTTTTTCCTAACATCTTTTCTATCATATGATACATTAAGGATGGAAATGAATCTCTTAACTATTTTTCTCATTCTCCAACATGAGTAAAAAATTATTATTTTCACAAAAATTACAATAGGAGGAACCCAAATTAAAATTTAAGACTGACATGAACATGTTAAAATTCTTGTTTTGATGCAGTCCATTGTGTTTAACCAAGTGAACAACTCTATTATCCAAGGGTTTAATATGGTGAATAGCAAAGGGTTCCACATAAAAATTGGTGACAGCCACAACTTCACAATCCAAGGCCTTAACATAAATGCACCCGAGACTAGCCCGAGCACCGATGGGATCCATATAAGCGAATCCGATCTCGTCACCATATCAAACTGTACCATTGCCACTGGCGGCCAAAAATGCATCTCCCAAGATGAAGGCGCTACCCATATTATCACTTCAGCTATTAATTGTATCGCTCCACGTCCATGAGGTAAAGGATTTTGTCAACGACTGTGTTAAGGGTTTGTTAAAAAAAAATTTAAATAGGTATACATTCTTTATAAAAAAAAAAAAAAAAAAAAACTCGCATTGGAAAGAATGTATAATTATTTTGAAAGTTTATTAACTGATACTCATAATACAATCGTTTACAAATTTGGAACCCTAAAAATTTGATTTTTTGAGAAAGTGCTGCTTATGTCCCCAATAGTTGGCAATGGAAAGCCAGAGGTAGCGATGTAGTAATGCTTTGTACGTAGTGGATTTTTGTATTTGTTAATATTTACTTCATGCTGTGGCACTTGTACATCCTGCTTTGCCATTATATGATAATGACAATGTATCACAAACTGTAAAACACTTTTTCTTGAAAAGGAAAATGTAAAAGATTATGCTATGTATCATCATTTTTTGACCTCTTTTTGAACTTCTCCTCTTACCTTGCTTCTTTTTTATATTATGCTATGTAAAAGATTTTGCCCTGTATCATCATCAACACAACTTACTTCTTACTAGATTTTGAATTTTCACGGCTCTTGTGCCATCAATACATATTACAAAATCATTTACTGAAACTCACTAATTGAATTAAATGCTTTTACCCATAACGCCAGCCTTGCTTTAATTATAAACTCTACAAATTTAGAGATCTTAGACCCCAGAGTCATTGAAAATTTTATCATTACTCGCCTTCCATAATGACCATCTATGGTGATTCTAAATTTTTTTCTCAGGATAAACATTTTTTTTTTGTTTATCGATACAAGATAAAAATTAAGGATAAACTAGTAATAGGTCCTGACAATTGGATTTAATTTTCATCAAGTTTTGTTGAAAATAAATCTTAGTAATTTTTTGCATATGTTGTTAAAAATTGACAATTAGTGACTTTTTTTGTCAACGATTTTTATAAATTGTTGCTAAAACTTATAATTAGTGACGTCTTTTTATGACAAATTTTTCAAACTCTCGTTGAAAGTTGAAAATTAGTAACTTTTTTATGATAATTTTTTTAAACTGTCACTAAAACTTATAATTAGTGACAATTTTTGTGACAATTTTTAAACTGTTCCTGAAAATTAACAATTAGTAACGTTTTTTTAATAATGTTTGAAGAAAAATGTTATTAGTCATCATAGGATTTATTGGATAATAAGTCCACCTATTAAAACGTAAGTACCCATAAATTAAAAAGGTATGAGATGTATGTCAAATTGAACCATTTATGAGAGGAAAACACAACCACAAACATGCAACTAACTCAACAAATATAAGAAATACACTACAGGAAATGAGGCAATTAACAGCGTTTAATTAACGGCGTTTTATTAAACGTCACGTTTGCTAATTTTTAACGGCGTTTTGTAACCGTCGCATATTTTTTAAAATCAAAACGGCACCGTTTCTAATTGCAGGCGTTTAAAAGCGCCTCCAAATGCTGTAGGTACACGCGCCCCTTTATGAAACCCTTATTTTTGCATCTAAGTGCAAATTTCGCGCACATCTCTCTCTCTCTTAGCGACGAAGAAGACGGAGGAGATCAACCGGCTGTTCTTGAAGCTTGAATATATAACACAAAGTCTTAGCTTGAATACGCACACATCTCTCTCTCTCTCTCAATCCTTATACGCACACATTTCTTCATCAAAGCTCCATCTGCACTTGTGATTTCAAAGATTCAGAGCAATTTTGAAGCGATTTCGAATATTCATATCGATTTCGAGATTCAGAGCGATTTGGAAGCTCCATCGCCACCGTCATTTGCACTGGCGAGATAGCGAGCTCCACCGTCTCTCTCTCTCTCTCTCTCTCTCTCTCTCTCTCTAGATCTATGAAATCAATGTTTTGAAGGCATTCTTACTTGAACCTCATTTGCAGAGATTCAAAGAGAGGCATTCTGACTTGATCCTCATTTACTGAACTTTAATCAATACTCTCTCTCTCTCTCTCTCTCTCTTTCTCTCTCTATTTCTTTCGAATTTTACTGCATGTATAACATTTGTATACATCAATATGTGTGTTTGTTGAATTGTTGAATTGATTTGTTAGGTTCTTTTTTGAACTGAAGGAAACTTCTACACTAATTTTCATACGACAATTTGGATAAATAGGACACAACATTGGGCCAAAAAAGATGATAGTTCAACAAAAATTTAACCGTAATTGTGAAACAATATGCTGGAAATACATATTAGATCACTGAGCTACAAAATAAACATTTGTTTGCCTGTGTTCATGTAATTACCTATATATTCACCATTTACAAATGCAACCATTGGTGGCCAAGGTTTGCTATTTGTAGGACTGGGTTAATATCAGAATGCATTGGTAAGTCATGGCAATCAAAACGTATACTGCAAGATGAATTCAAAAAACATGTCAGATCTGTGGAAAGTTTAGAAAGAAAATTGTGAAAGTTGAGTAAGATAGGATTACCTGGTGCTGTACCAAGCATAGTCTGAGGTATCTTTAGTCAAGCTATAGAGCTCCAATGGAGACTTGCTTTTTAGTGTAAATTTTAATGTTTTATGAAATTTTCATGTTTTCATCAATCCTTTTGTTAAACATGCATTTTTGTTGATTACTGTTAAAAATGCCTTAGGATCTGCATAGCCCTTCATTAAACCAAAGGGTCTTTCAGAAGTAGAGGACAAACCACAAAAATCTCTTAATGAGAAACAGCAAGAGAATCAAGAGCTTCTTATCCGATGTATTGGACAACACCTAGGCTTCGCAGGGAACAGACCAATTGCTGCTAGTATCATCTACAAATGCCTTCTACAGTGGAGATCTTTTGAAGTTGAGCGGACTAGTGTGTTTGACCGAATCATTCGGACCATAGGCCATGCTATCGAGGTTTGAATAATCTAATCCTATATGCTACTAGTGTGTCTTGTTTTCGCTTTTTGTCATAATTGTCTTCTCATAACTAAGTATTATTATTTGGATTAAAGACCCAGGATAACAATGACATCTTAGCCTATTGGTTGTCCAATTCCTCGACTCTTCTGCTGCTACTCCAGCGTACATTGAAAGCAAGTGGTGCTGCTGGAATGGCTCTTCAGCGCCGTCGATCATCCTCGGCTACTCTGTTTGGAAGGATGACACATGTAATTTAAAGTTCCCATTTGAATTTCCATGTTCTGTCATCAAACGAAGTTTAGTCCTTTCATTAGTTCAGGTGTTTGCTATTTTTTTTATTTATAGAGTTTCCGAGGAACTCCGGAAGGAGTTAAGCTTTCCTTTGTATATGGTGGCCTGACTGGTGGAGTAGAAACTTTACACCAAGTTGAAGCCAAAAACCCAGCTTTGCTTTTCAAGCAGTAACTTACAGCATTTGTAGAAAAGATTTATGGAATGATTTGAGATAACCTTAAGAAAGAGATTTCTCCATTGCTTGGGTTGTGCATCCAGGAATGAAATTCTTTATTCTATGGGTTATTTTATTAATTTACTTGGTAAATTATTTTTGTATAAAATTTATTAATAAAACACTTGAGCTAGATAGAGTCATTTTCATGGAATCAAGGTTTTGAAAACCGGACTAGACTAGCTGGTTCAACTGGTTGAACAGTTGACCGGGTGAGGCTCCAATCCAATTAACTCTCTTAAATCGTTCAAGGACAAAAACCGGCGTATGTGCGGAGAACCGTTTGAACTATAAACTGACTTCAATAAGACAAGATTGCTATTAAAATAGAAGCAATTGAATGTTTTGTTTGAGTATGTTGCTAATATTACTTTTCTGTTATATTTACCTTTTGTGTTTACAAAGGTTGAAATTCTGTTATGTTTCGAAGTAAGCAAAATTGAGTTCAATATACTACTATTACTACATAATCAACAAATATTGAAGGAAAACTGCTCTTTTGATTTTGATTGTTCAATCAATTTGATAGAGTGGTCTTTTTCACTGGTTTAGTTTTTAAATTATTAAAACTAAATTGACACTTTCCAAATTTAATTTATTCAAGTTCTTGTGAAGCAGGTGCTGAATGCTGGCAAAAATAAGCTTAAATCAATGGATGAGGGCAGATCTCTTTTGAGCTTACGTGCATTGATCTTGAATGGTAGGATCCATCTTGACCAACTGCATCACCTCAGTTTTTAATTTCTGATGTATATAGTAATTTTGCTGGTTGGAAAATTACAATTTTAAATTTCCTTATTTCCGCTAATGAATCCCCCTTTGTGCAGATTAACTTGTGCATGAAGGTCTTAAATACATGTTTCAAGATAAAGGCCTTGTAACTATGAGTTGTGAAGTCTTTAACTCAGTGTATTATGTTACATGGACACTTCTAAACATATGGCTGGAGTAAGGATATGGGCTGTGTGTCCGACATGTCCAGTCAAAACTGGGCCCAACAAGCATGTTTAGTTATGCAAATTTACTGTGTAATTAATTGATAGACCTCCCTTATTATGTTTCTTTGTGACATGATTGCTTTAGAGCAAGTGAAGTGCCATCTTGAAGAAAAGTCACCATTCCACCCTAGGAAATAAAACACAAATACTAAGAAATTGTTTTTTATTTTTTCATTTTCTGTTGCTTTTACACTGTCTTACATAAAGTCAGTATTCTACCTTGAGAAATAAGAGAAACATGCCAAGAAATTTGGGAGTTTAGATGTATAATATCCACACTTGATAAGGGGACTTGAGTCTATGTAACATGACTAGTGTATATAACATCACTTCAGATTTGGTGATATTTTAATTAATTTTACTGGGTGCTTCTTGGCTTATCAGGTATGGTCTGCTCCAAATTATTGTTATCGCTGTGGTAATGTAGCTTCAATATTGAGCTTCAATGAGAATATGGTACTGCCACTAAACTTTTCACTCTTTTAACTTGGTTGTGGCTTTTTGGCTCATTTATATAGATTTGATTAATTGAATTTTCTATGGGTGATGTGTTTTACCCCTTTGTCTGTTAGGAGAGAGAGGTTTTTTACCGACTAACATAATTTTTGGTCGCCAATTCCACAACTTTTGTCAACCAAAATATTTTTAGTCGGCAAAAGTGGTCGCCAAAGCTGTATTTTCTTGTAGTGTTTACTGGGTGCTTCTTGGCTTATCAGGTATGGTCTGCTCCAAATTATTGTTATCGCTGTGGTAATGTAGCTTCAATGAGAATATGGTACTGTCACTAAACTTTTCACCCTTTTAACTTGGTTGTGGCTTTTTGGCTCATTTATATAGATTTGATTAATTGAATTTTCTATGGGTGCTGTGTTTTACCCCTTTGTCTGTTAGGAGAGAGAGGTGAAGTTCTTCACTGAAACAAAGGAAAACAACCAGATGAGAGGCCCCAGAACTGGAGTGCCTTTTTTCTTATGAGTGAGGATTTGTTTGCTTCATTACCCTGTACTATTGTTTGAAGTTTGATGCACTGTTGTTTTCATTGTGGGGGAGAGAGAAAGAAGATATGGACAGATGTTTTCCTTAGAGGATCCCTGAAAAAGATTACATGAATATTCTTGCAACATGGAATACATTCAAGCTTTTGTTCCTAACCTGCTCCGCTTTTAAATAGCTTGTTTGTGTTGTAAACGCGTACTTTTCCTTTTTCATTGCTTTTGTTTTAGTTTATTATACATTTTTTAAAAATCTTTTATCTAGTTTGTGAGTTTATTTGGAATCCGATAAGCTTACAACTAGTAGCTGGCCAGTGCTAGATCAGATGATTTGGAAATTTGAGAGATTAAATCTATATTCCTCATTGAGTTAAGACATTTTATTTCGGATTGACTATTGAGTGAGTGAGTTCTCTCGTCTCTACTTGTAGCATCCATTCTAAGGGAACCTACATGGATCTCAAACGCCACACCAAAAGGCTAAATAGGTAAGTTTCTTCGAAGGGCTATCAGTCCACCAGCAGCAGGCCAGTAAAAATTTAAGGTTGTGTTTGGATGTGCAGAATCATTTTATTGTTTGGTGGTTATTGTTTGGTGCTAAATAGGTAAGTTTCATAGTATGCCTCCTCATAGTTACAAGGCCTTTATCTTGAAACGTGTATTTAAGACCTTCCTGCACAAGTTGATGGCTCCTTGTTTGTGTAAACTCATAAGGATTGGCTGGGCAGGGCTACTAATTGGGCTAAATTCAGTGCAACAGCAGGTCTAGGTGTTATTCACAGAGGCCACCTGCAACAGGGCAGATCACTGATGGCCCCTTACTTGCCGCAGAGTGGGGCTGGTGGTGGTGGCAGTCCATACTCTGAAGGCGGTGCTCTCTATGCCCTAGACTTGATTCATGCAAACCATGGGGAGGGTATCAAAACAATTTCTTCGTGATAGCCTATGCAGTACCAACGTGGAGGTGCTTGCTCTCTATAATCTATTGTTCGGTTACTTTTGTGCACCATGAATTTCTGTTATAATAGTGGTGCTGGAAACTTTGATTGGTGCAGGTTATTCAGCATGGTGCATGCTTGGGTCTGGGCTTGGCAGCTCTTGGAACTACTGATGAAGATATCTATGACAACGTAAAACTGTGCTTTATATTGACAGTGCTGTTTGTGATTTCCTGTTTGAACCTTGTACTTACATTTTGTAAATTATCTTAAATTAGTATGATAGTTATTTATTTAATATTTTTCTCAATTAACCACAAGATGAGTATTATCTCATCAACTTTGCTATTGTTTCAGCTTAGAAGCAGTTAATTTTGTTAGGAATCAGCTTCGGCAACACGGAGATGTTCAGGTAAAAAATTTGCCTCAATTCTGGTATACCAGTGTTATGGTTTACAAAGTTCTAACTTCTTTTGTTCTGATTTTTGTTAGCTTGTGAGGTGCTTGGAAGAGCAGCTCTGGTAATGGATGCGTGAATGTTTATCCTATGTCCCTCTGATGTTTGATACTTGAGTGACTTACGATTTTATGTTTTGTTCTTATTCACAAAAGAGAGAGGAATTATCCATTCTCTCTGAACATGTATATATATAACTGAGCATTTTATGATGTCATTATATGTCGTGAGGTGATTTTGTAAATTCTTTAGTTGTATCACAGTGTTCAGCAATTTACACACACACACACATATACAGACTACAGAGAGAGTGAGAAAGTGTTTGATTCGCAAAATCACCTCCCCATTGGAAGAACATTGTGCCAATTTGCTGGTGGCTTACTCAGCTCAAACTCTTTGGTGCAGAAATAGTGGAATACAGTTACAAGAGAATGAAAGACCCTTAAAAAAAGAAGAAAAAAATTGACAACATCAATTTTTACCGTGATGTGAAAGGGGCCTATATCTATAAATTTTAATGTGATTAATAATTTCTCGACAGAGTAGTTTTAGTTACTCGTCATATAAATGCTGGCCTCTTCTTACATGTGAAAGTCAGCAGGGTTGAGTGCCAAATCTTCTGTGATGAGCCTTTTCCACCTACATATTGACTTTATTTTTTTTATTTTATTATTGGATAAGTATTTTGACTTTCTTTATATGTCTCACCAATACATCCTATATGTAATTTCTTTTTTTAAAGAAAAAAAACTTATGTTCCACTCACTATCTGGGGGATCCATCTATTTGACACTGATTTCCTTTGGTTCTTTTCTTACTTCTGTTTCAACTTTGATGACTGTTTAAGTTTATTGATTCCTTTGTCTACTTCTCTGTTGGAATGACTAAAATATGTCATTTCCGCAGGCAAACCTGTATATATGTATAGCATGGGTGGCCTTGCTGATTTTTGTGTCGTGCCAGTACATGGTTTGTGCATTCTACCCAACACAGTGCCGTATATAGAATCTGCTATTTTGGGATGTGCAGTTTTTACCGCATATGGTCCCAAGTGTATAGAGAAGATGCTTATTAATACCAAATGGTTTTGTTCCATGAATATACCATAGCTTGAGTTTGGAAGACAGTTGGGATGGACCAATCAACTATTATCATTTTTTTACCTTCTATGTCATAGCAGTGAAACCAAATGTCCAACAAACCCAAATGTCCTTTCACATTCTCATCACAGTTGTCACTCCCCTCTTCCCAATCTTCCTCAAAATGCTCTTGTTCATAGTAGAGACCATCAAGAACAAACATAGGGTTCTGAGAAGCCATAAACTTCTTCTGAGAATAAGACAATAGAGCCACTGCTCATTATCTTCAGGACCTGAAGATGAAGAGAGACATGATCAACATTGGACCCATTACAACATCTGAATCTGTTTCCTCTCTCACTCTCTTTAGATCCCAGGGGAGAAGAAAGAAAGGCAGACCCAGATATAGAAAGAAGGGGGAGATTTATCTGAGAAGGTTATCAAGTCTGTCCTTTTTTCTTTTTTTCTTTTTTTGCCAAAGTTTTGTTCTCTGAGATTTATCTGAGATTTGTTCTCTGGATATTGTTCTCAAATCAAATCAGTGAGTTCTACTTCAGTTACTAGCATGCCAGCAAGAGAGTACATAGTTCTGATAGTAATGGAATCCAAGGATTTAGCGAAATCAAGGACTTAATTTTTTTTTTGGACTTTTTGCTTGATGATGATATTAGAAATTCTATTTCTGACTTTTTGCATTTGTATCTGTTGTTTTGTCCCATTTTGTGCACATCAATTTTGGACTTTGCAATTCATACAGGAAATTGACAGGCAAGTTCCTTTAATGGACGGATTGACACTAACGTTTGAGAACACATCCTGTCCTAGTAATATCTGAAGCTACAAGTATTCTTTAATTATTAATGGTGTATTTTCACATCCTACAGGTCGACAATGCAGCATCTGACCTTAAGAACACCAATGTGAGACTTGAGGCTACTGTTAACCAGGTGACTAAGCTGCCACTGTATTATCTGTAGATTTGCATCACTTTGTGTGCTGCAGAGAGAGAGAGAGAGAGAGATTCAGCTATGCTATGTCGTAGATCTCTTTGCTGGATTTGACAAAAAGTTTTGATTTGTTTTAGCTGAGATCCAGTCGAAATTTCTGTATTGATATTATACTGTTGTGCATAATTCTTGGGATTGCCGCCTATCTATACAAGTAAGTTTCACTTTCTCAAAAAAATGGAGAGGAAATGTTTTATCTAATTCTTGGTAATAGCTGACATGCTTAATGGACTCTAGAAAATAATTTCATGCATGGGTGAACTTATAATTAGAAGCCAATAATTGAACTTGTAAACTAAAGCTGAGTGCATGGTTATTCTGGTTGGATCTTCTTCTTGCTTGATTCAGTTTCTCCTGTTAATCCATTTCTTTTCACTACCTTAGTGCATTTCAATGAAATAACAATCGTTAGATTGGTTTATTATTATGTTTTATGATTGGCAGAGACCGAGAGGATTGAAGGCCATGGGAAGCAGCATGGAGAGCGATTCAGAATGACAATGAAGGATGGATGGGGGCTTTCCTTCGGATTCTTATTTCTCTTCTTTTTTCTTTTTTTCCTTTGATCTGATTGGGGAGTTGGGTGTTTTGGTTCACTTTCTTCTTATTTTTTGTGTTAAATGGGGGAGGGAGTGGTGAGAGAGAGAAGAGAATAATATTATTTTGTGGCTTTGTATACAAAGTAGTAATTAATTTTTTGGTTGAGAATTGTGAATACAATTTTTGGATATATTATTTTGGGGGTAATATTAAAATATCATTTGTGGATATGTTATTTTGTGGGTGATGGTGATTGGTGAATGGGAAAGTGAATTAATGATGCATTTGCTATTTGAATGTAAGTTATTATTTCACATTAGTGTTATTCATTTTTATTATATGTATTTTTTTAGTTTAATCACATAAATTAGCACAATTTCAAAAAAAAAAAAAAAAAAAGCGGTATCACGGCGTTTTTTTAAAAACGCCACTTAAACCCAAAATATTAACGGTTAGATTTTTTAAAAAAGATATGACGGCGTTTAAAAAATGTCACTAAATATCATAATGATGTCATGGTATTGTCAAGTAAGGCATTTAGCGGTGTTTTTAAAAACGCCGCCTATACTAATATAACGACGTTTTTAAAATGTCATGAAGTTATAGCGACGGCCGCGTCCTCGGCGCTTGATGCTAAGCGTCGCAAAAAGAATTAGCGGCATTTTTTACACTTATAAACGCCGCTAAAAGCTGAATTTCTTGCAGTGATATCTCAAACAAATGCAAGGGACATGTAGATAAAATCTAACCTCTGACCTCTAGTGATGTGCATGAACTCTTGGCTAATGGGTAACTTTGTAAAGAAAAAAAGAAAAAAAAAAGTAGTGAAGTTGTAAAAAGATTGTTCAAGTGGTTGTCGTGGTGGAGGAGGGGGAGAGAGGTGGTGTGATGGCGGCAATAGTAAGGTTATAATAGTGCACATTAATATTTACGCATGAATAATTAAAATTCAATTAATATATTTTTTTAATTTTTAATTATCTCATTGTCAGTGAAATAACCGAGGGGAAAAAATTTATTGATTGATTGCTCAAAAATAGGATCTGTGGAGATATATTTTCTGAGTACCCACACGTGGCAAGATGACGCCGACGTGTCAGCCGAGGTGCCACGTGTCCTGGTCGTGACGCCGAGGTAATCTCGGCAAGGCCGAGGTTATCTCCGAAGATATCGGAATCCGAGATAAATGGATAAGGGACAAGAGTCCTAGAATGAGAAAAGACTTCAGTTTGGGAAAAGATAAGACTCTTAGAGAGTTTATCCTAATCCCACTGGGAGTTCCAGATTAGCAGTAATCCTAAGTCTATTAGGGCCAGGCTCCTATTGGGACTAGGATTGTATTGGTTATAAAAGAGAGGCACCCCTATGGGTCTAAGGTATGCTTTTGAGACTCAAGCTTGTGAGTTTAGTATTTGATTTATCTTTGAGAGATATACTGACTTGATCGTCGGAGTGCCCCTGGGTGGTCGAAACCACCGCGGGATTCTTATACTTCTGTTGCAGGTTAGCTAGAGGCCATCTATTCTGCCAGTGCTCTCCAGCTGGTTACTAAGCGGGCAGTGTGGTCAGAAAATCATCCACACAATTTGGCGCCGTCTGTGGGAAAGAAAAAAGAATAGATGGCCAATGACGGACAGAATGATCAGATTAGAGACTACGCTCCTACTGGGAGTGGAAGACCTATCGATCTCGACGTTGAAGGGGACAATAGCAACACAGACACTCGTGACCAGAGTCACGGAGTGAAAGAAGCCGGCCAAGAAGGTGACGCACCAAAGACAACAGATCGAAGCAACGAAGACGACCTCCAGAGGTATGGAAGGATAGATACCTGCGAAGGAACGAAGACCTTTCCAGAAGGGATGCAAAGACAGGGGTCATGAGCGCTCCCAAGAAGATAACATTCAAGTATAGAAGAGCTCAACCTGAGTGAGCTAATCCCGGATCCCAGATCCCAGAAGACATGATCTCGGCCTAGATGAGTAGGTCCGAGAAAAGAAGAGCTCAACCTGAGTGAGTAAATCCAAGATTCCAGAAGATAAGATCTCGAGACCTGAGTCCGAGAAGAGAAGAGCACAATGAGCAGATCTCAGATCCTAGAAGATAAAAAAGAAACACACAAAATCAGACTAAAGTTGGCCAGAATTGAGAAGTATGCTAGGGCTGAGGAAGACATGCCAGGAACAAAGGCGTCGGAACAAGAAAAGAGAAACGGCTCGCCGATGCGAGGCCGAAAATCAAACTCAGGTTGGAGCCAAGTAAGATCAATAGAGAAACCAAGGCCGACAACCTCGGCTTGAATTCAACCTCGGCGACAAGGTCGAAGCTACATGTATGATGAGAACCCAAGTGGATTTTAAGTTCACACTGGGGGCGTAGAGAAAAAGAATGCGTTTACCACTTGTTGAAATTTGTGGACAATTTATAAGTTGGTTAAATGAAGATGATGTTTAACCGAAGTTAAACCGAGATGATGCTTAACCGAAGTTAAGCTGAGATGATGCTTAACCGAAGTTAAGCCGAGATAATGCTCAACCGAAGTTAAGCCGAAGATGATGTTTAACCGAAGTTAAACCGAGATAATGCTTTACCGAAGTTAAGACGAGATAATGCTTAACCGAAGTTAAGCCGAGATGATGCTTAACCGAAGTTAAGCCGAGATAATGCTTAACCAAAGTTAAGCCGAAGATGATGTTTAACCGAAGTTAAACCGAGATAATTCTTTACCGAAGTTAAGTCGAAGATGATGCTTAACCGAAGTTAAGCCGAGATGATGCTTAACCGAAGTTAAGCTGAAGATGATGTTTAACCGAAGTTAAACCGAGATGATGCTTAACCGAAGTTAAGCTGAAGATGATGTTTAACTGAAGTTAAACTGAGATGGTTCCTTATCTTCACTTGTTGAAATTTGTAGCAATTTACAAGTTGAAGTTAAGCTGAGATTATTCCTTAATTCACTTGTTGAAATTTGTAGTAATTTACAAGTTGGAATTAAGCTGGTTCCTTATCTTCACTTGTTGAAATTTGTAGCAATTTACAAGTTAGAGTTAAGCTGATTCCTTATCTTCACTTGTTGAAATTTGTAGCAATTTACAAGTTGAAGTTAAGCCAAGATTACTGTTTCTCTTCGCTTGTTGAAATTTGTAGCAATTTACAAGCCGAAATAAAGCCGAGGTTATTGGTTAAACACTTGTAGAAATTTACAAGTTGGTTAACCCGAAGAAGATGCTTAACACTTGTTGAAATTTGTAGCAATTTACAAGATGACGTTAAGCCGACATATGATCATCTGTTGAAATTTGCAGCCATTTACAGGTTAAGGTAAAAGCTAAGTATATTGTTTAAACACTTGTTGAAATTTGTATCAATTTACAAGCAGATCATTGTTATAACTTGAGAAAAATTTACAGTATATGTAAATCCTTGTTGAAATTTGTAGCAATTTACAAGTAGGCTAGACCGAGATCACCGTTTAAACACTTGTTGAAACTTGAGAAAAAGTTTACATTGAGTAGTATATCTTTCACACTTGTTAGAATTTATAAAAAGTTTGCAGGTCAGTATCTTGCCGAAGTAAAAGTTTTGTAGCTATTATACCCGAGGTATGTAACCTAGAGAAGATTGCACAAAGGAGGCAAAGTATGAAAGGCATACAAAATATTCTAAGTATAGAATCATGCAATAGCAGTTAGAAGAAGATCAAAACAGAATTCATCATGATTAACACGCCCTCGCCATGCAATATCATCTTGGGAAGGCCATGGCTGCATACAATGGGGGCAGTTCCCTCAACGTTGCATCAACTACTGCGGTTCCCAACAGAACATGGGATTGAAGAAGTCAAAGGGGATCAACTGCAGGCAGAGAATTGCTCCATGGTAGCAATGAAATCCACCTGCAGCATTCAAGAACCAAAGAAGGCAGAGATTGAAAACGAAGAGGTCCTAGATGATGTCGGCAAGGAGCCAGCCGAAAAAAGTGAAGAGACACTGAAGAAAATCCTCGTCTAGGAGGGCGACGAAGAGCGCTTCTTTCTTCTCGGCTCAGGCTTAGCCGAAGAAGAAGAAAGGGAATTGGAAGCTTTTTTTAGAGTAAACATTAAGGTATTTGCTCGGACACCTTATGAAGTGCCTGGCATTGACCCCGAGGTCACACGTCACAAATTGAACGTCGACAAGTCGGCCAAACTTGTAATCCAACAAGCAAGAGGGCCAACGTTGATACACGTCGAAGCAGTAGAGAAAGAAGTAGACAGACTTTTTGGAGCTCAGGGCCATCCGAGAAGTCAATTACCCGACATGGCTATCAAATACAGTGGAAGAAGGAATGATAATTAAGGAGCAAGGAATGTTAACACTTGTTGAAATTTTTGAGCAAATTACAAGATGAGTTAACCGAGGATTATGAAGTCTACCACTTGTTGAAATTTGTAGCAATTTACAAGTTTGGTATAGCCGAGATAACACTGAAAGACGTTTTCGAGATATGATCAACCGAAATGACCAACTAGCTTGTTAAGAGCTGAGAGGGTTGGCAAGTACAAAAATGAAGACCTTAAAGAACTAGGGACTGAAAGCAAGAACGTCGGGCTAATTTGCTTCGACGGACGACGATGGCTCAGCCTCGACAGTCAGTTGGAGGAGCTTCTCTACCGCTACCTCGGCATCAATTTCAAGAAGGAAGCAAACTACTCGGCATCAGCGGTAGGTTGTGTCTCACCCCCAGAAGACAGTTGGAAAGAACTTCTCAGCAGCCTTCTCAGCCACGAGCTCAGCATCAACCTCCTGAAGAGTTTGATTAAAGCTCTTCTTGGTGATTGGCACCTCGGAGTTTTAAAAGCAAAGATTGAAAGCAAGAATCTGGGAAAAGACACAGAAAACAGAAACAAGAATGTAATTCGTAAATCAAAAATGGTGATGAAGCTATTAGGAAATTAAGACAAAAAAAAAAAAAAAAATTGCACAGGTGTGTCAAGCCAAGAACAGTGGCAGAAATTAACAGATATGTGAACAGTGTGTAGTCAAGAAGATGATTTGGAAACAACGGGTAAAACAGCAATGGTGATTAACAATGAAGCAGAGCTTCTTGGAAAGCAACAAGAAATAAGACCAGGAGAAAAAGTGGCTTACCAGAAAGAGGGAAGCTTGAATGAGAATTGCCGAAGT